GTTTTGGTATAAGGTTAATGTTGGCCTCATAGAATGTTTGGAAGCACTCCCTCTTCAGTTTTTTGGAAGAATTTGGGAATTATTGCTATTAGTTCTTTGAATGCTTAGTAGAATTCAGCAGTAAAGCTGTCTGGTCCTTGGCTTTTAGGGTTGTTTTTTTTTTCTTTTTTGTGTGGGGTGATACTTTTTATTACTGCTTAAGTCTCATTACTCATAATCAGTCTTTTTCAGGTTTTCTGGTTCTTCGCGATTCAACCTTGTTAAGTTGTATGTGTTGTTCAGGAATTTATCTATTTCTTCTAGGTTTTCCAGTTTGTTTGGATATAGTTGTTCATAGTAGTCTCTTATGATCGTTTGTATTTCTGTGTTATTGGTTGTAATGTCTTTTTCATTTCTGATTTTATTTATTTGAGTCTTCACTTTTTCTTCCTTAGTCTCACCAAAGGTTTATCGATTTTATCTTTTCAAAAAAACAACTATTTGTTTCATCAATATTTCGTATTTTTTAAAATCGCTAATTCATTTATTACCGTTCTGATCTTTGTATTTTCTCTCCTTCTACTGATTTTGGCTTTGGTTTGTTCTTGCTTTTGTCGTTAATTGGGGTATAATGTTAGGTTGTTTGTGTGAAGTCTTTTTTTCTTTTTGGATGCAGGCATTTATTGCTATAAATTTTCCTCTTAGAATTGCTTTTACTGTATCCCATAGGTTCTGGTATGTGGTATTTTCATTTGCATTTGTCTCCAGGAATGTTTTATTTTCCTTTTTCATTTCCTCTTTGACCTGTTAGTTGGTTAGTAGCTTGTTGTTTAATTTCCATGTATTAGTATGGTTTCTATTGTCTCTTTTAATGTTGATTTCTAGTTTTCTTTCATTGTGGTCAGACAAGGTAGGTGATACAATTTTAATTTTTTTAAAAATTTGTTGATGCTTGTTTTGTGATCTAACACATGTTCTATTCTAGAAAATAACCCATGTGCTGCTGAGAAGAATGTGTATTCTGCATCTGTTGGATGAAATTTTCTATATATGCTCCATTATATCCAATTGGCCTAGAGTAGAGATTAATTCTTATGTTTCCTGGTTAATTTTCTGTATGGATGATTTGTTCTTTTTGAAGGTAGGGTATGAAAGTCCCCAACTATTATTGTGTTGGAGTCTATTCTCCTGTTAAGTGGAGTAGTAATTGCTTTATAAAACTGGGTGTCCCAGAGTTGGGTGCATATATATATATTTAGAAGTGTTATATCCTCTTATTAAATTGATCTCTTTATTATTATATAATGGCCTTCTTTATCTTGATTTACTTTCCCTGGCTTGAAGCCTATTTTATCTGATATAAGTAGAGCAACTCCTGTTCGTTTTTGGTTTCTATTTGCATGAAATATCTTTTTTCATCTCTTCACTTTTTGTCCATGTGTGTCTTTAAAGGTGAAGTGAGTTTCTTCTGGGTAGATATTGTTAGTTCTTGTTAGAAAATCCATTGAGCCACTCTGTGTCTTTTAATTGGGGCCTTAAGTCTGTTTATATATATAGTTATTATTGATATACAAGGACTTATTACTGCCATTTTGTTGCTTTTTTGGTGCTTGTTTTGTCAACTCTTTTTTTCTGATCTTATTGTCTTTGTGATTGATTGGTTTTCTTTAGCAGTGTATTTTGATTTCTCATTATCTATTTTTAGTATGTCTCATAAGTTTTTGGGTTATGGTTCCTATGAGGCTTACAACAAACATGTTATAACTATAACAGATTATTTTAGATTAATAACAACTTAACTTTTACATATAAGAAAAAAGAAAGAACCAAAGCCAATTCTACATGCTTTTGTGTCATTTACCCCAACTTTTTGACATTTTGTTGTTTCAAGTTACATATTTTAATATTGCCTATATCTTATATGGATATGGTATCTGTTGTTGTCTCATTAGGTTTGTGCTTTAATCCTCATTCTAAGGATTTAAGCTGTTTGTTTACGGCATTACGACATTGGAATATCTTAAGGTTGTCTGTGAACTTACTTAACTAATGAGTTATGTACCTTCAAATGTTTTCTAGCTGCTACTTAGTGTTGTCTTCTTTCAGACTGAAGAACTCCCTTTAGCATTTCTCGTAAGGCAGAACTAGTGTTAGTGAATTCTCTTAGCTTTTGTCTGGGAAAGACTTTATTTCTCCTTCATATTTGAAGGTTAGTTTTGCAGGATAGACAATATTGTCAGCATTTTCTTTTTGCTCCTCTAATTGCATAACTTCATATGTTCTACCTTCAAGCTCACTGACTGTTTCCTGAATTTGATTAAGTCTGCTCTTTGAGTTTTCTTTCAAGTTTTTCAGTTCAGATAATGTATTCTTTATTTCTAGAATTTCTTTTTTTTTTTTTTAATTTGATTAAGTTCCTTTGTCAAGTTTCTCATTTTGCTCCTGGATTGTTTTCCAGATATCATTTAATTTCAATCTGCATTTTCTTGCGATTCACTGAACATCCTTAAGAGCATTATTCTAAATTCTTTGTTAGACATTTCATAAATCTGCTGGTCCTCTGGGTCCCTTGCTGGTGCTTGATGTGTTTCCTTTGATCATATCATATTTCTCTGTTCTTTCTCAATCTTTGTGTTTTTCATTGATGCCTGAACATTTGAGGAGACTGCTGTCTCTTCTACATTTTATAGGTATTTTTGTGGTGTTCAGCTTTTAGTGGTTAATATCAGAGCTTTGTCTCTGATCTGTTTATTTTATTTTTTTCTTTTAGTTCTGTGTTTGATCATTATCTACCACCACCACTTAAACTCTGCACTGGAACTCATTTGTTGTCCTTTTGTTAATTCCAAAATGGAGAAATTTCCTCTGGGGACCAGCACTTGAGGCCTGTCGTTGAGCTAAATTGCTCCTTTGCCGCTGATTCTCTCGGGAAGGCTTTTTGTGCAGCTCAGGTTTTAATTGTTGACCTTTTAATCACTTCTGGGTCTTGTGGGGTCAGATACACCTAGGCTGTGTGGAAATTCTGGCCCAGCACTAAGTTTTTCCAGCAAATTGCACCCACTACAGATCTGTCTTCCTGACCAGTCTCCACTGAGTGGGCCTGTGCCAATGGAAGGCAGGTCAGCTGCTGACATTGAACCCCAGTATTCTCCTGCAGGCCAGCCTCTATCCACACTGCAAACACTTCCTGTGGAGCAGGCTATGTACCAGTCCCTTGAGGTGGCTCACTGGCCTCTGGGTGGCTCCTAGTTTTGGTTGGCTGCAGCCCCTCACTCCAATGTGGTTCCAAAGAACCCTGTCAGTGGTCTCACTGGCCTGGGGTGGAGGCTGGTGTGCTACGTTCTGGGGCCCTCTTTTCCCCTGCAGACTCCAAGCAACTTCATGAAAAGGGTTCAGCTGTGGCTTTTGCCATCTCCTCCTCCATGTGCTCACTGGTCCAGTGTTAAAGTGGCCAGGGCTCAAAACAGTTGGAGCAGTCCCTTCTGTCTCTCACTGGAGCTGCTCCTGCCTTCATGAACTCTGCAGGTCTCTCCTTCTCTTGCCCTGAGCTCTAGCAGTCCCAGATTGGCAGTCTTTGCTTTATATTAGTTATATATTGGTTGGCCGTAGGAGAGAGTGATACTGGGTGCATCTGTTCTGTCATCTTGATGACATCCTCCCCAATTTTTAAAAATTGTAATAATTCAGTGACAAGTGGCAGTAGGGAAAATATTTGCAACATGTATGATGGACACAATGTTAATGAACTTTGAATATAAAATTTATTTTGTGATATAAGACAGATAAATAACATAGAAGCATCGGTAAAGGACAACAAGCTATTTTTAAAAGAAGAAATACATGTCTAGTTAGGGATCAAAACAGTACAAGTTACTCTTTCCATTTATCAAATAAAAAATAAATAGCAGTGTTGGTGAAGGGTGTGGCAAAATAACTTTCTTACACTGGATAGAAATATAAATTGGTACAATCTTTCTGGAATACATTTTTACCCAGATATACCTTTACTAGGAATTTATCCTACTCATTAGTTGAGTACCCACTCTATGCCAAATAATGTTTGTCACCAGGGATGCAACAACAGAAAACACACTCAACAAAAAAACTTTGCTTTGCTTTCCTGGAATTTACATTCTTGTTGGTTAGGCAACAAATAAAATAAAGAAGTAAAATATAAAATATATTAGAATGCGTTGAGTACTATGGAGAAAAAAGAAAGCTATGAAAGAGGCTAAGAGGTGTCAGGGGCAAGGGTGTGTGTCAGGGATCCCCAAGATCATCCCCAAGTTTAGTGATTTGCCAGAAGAAATATAATGATGTTGATAGCAATTAATCTCTGAAAAATGGGAAATAGATGTTTTATTTTCTGTATATATTTTTTTAGTTTTCTACAGTTTCTACAATGAACATGTAGAAATAGATAACTGAAGTCAACAAACTTTTTAAAAAAATTGTCAAAATTCTTTTGGTAAAATGAGTTTCTGACTTTTTTTAGAGGATGGTATATTTTATCAATCTTTTGGACATTATAATGGATGGATTTTACTTTAGGAGAATAAATATAAGTGAATTTATTAACATTTTACTTTAGGAGAATAAATATAAATTAATTTCTAAACATAGCATTTAATTTTGCAGCCTGTCACACTTGGTGAAAATATGATATAGATTTGTTTTTTTCAAATCTTTCTATTTTAAAAATTGTATTTGTTTAGCATATTGAAATTCTGTCTTGCTTATCTTCTGGTTAAGAACTTTGAGAAGACTACCAATTTCTCTTACTAGAATTCTATCACATAAATGTTATTAAGTTTTATTCATTGTATTTGTTTTCCAGCACTGAATTTCAAACAGTAGATTTACATAATCATTTAAAAAATACTTTGTATTAAATGCTTTCATAATCACTTCAAAATGTTTTATGTTGGATTTCATTAAATTTCATTTTCATTTTATAAACTATCAATGTAAGTATTTAGAATAATTTAGATTAGAATTTAATGCAGGAAAATATATTTTAGGAAAACAGTTAAAGGATGGGAAGAAACCAGAACCATGCAAACCTATCCTCAAGGTGGAATTCAAAACGACTAGATCTGGGTAAGAATTTACTTCATTGCCGATACATTGTATAGAATTACTTAGATAGCACTGAAGGCTATTTTATTGTTATTTTTGAAGGCCTATTTTGAGTCATCTATCCCAGTCTTAAATTTTATGCTTTCTTTATTTAAAAGAAGAACTAAAATTGGTAAATTTAGGATAAAATACTTCCTTGTGTTCTTTCTGTCTTCAGTAATTTTACTATGTATCTTGGAAAGTTTGGATTATTCTTCTTGTAAAACTTCATAATTAGATTAGACTTCAGTAACAATAGTGTTTATTTGCTAGTGAAAATTGTGAATAAACAATAAAAAAAGATTTATTATGTATATTCAGAAATTAAATCTCATCATAAGAATATTTGACAGTTACAAAAATAAATACAGTTTAATATTAAAAGAAGTTTATCAGTTGTATTTGAAGACATTGATTATCACTATATGGATTAGGTATGAGACAGATGATTTTTACAATTTATGTACCTTACATATATTTTTGTATGCATCAACTGTTATTTTCAAAAATATAATAAAGGAAAAACTTAAAAAATGTTTTTTTGAAAATTCCACATCTCTTTAATCTCTCTCTCTGTTTTTTTTTTTTTTTCATTCTTCATCTCTCTGTTTTTTTTTTTTTTTATATATTCTAATTTCTTCAGAAAAGTGTGTGGTTGATTTAACTATAGCCAAAAGAACTGTTTTTTTTTTTTTTATATATTCTAATTTCTTCAGAAAAGTGTGTGGTTGATTTAACTATAGCTGTGTGAGAGAGTGAATTTATGTAGGTATAGCACAGTGGTTCTCAAGTTGTGGTCACTGGGCCAACAGCATTAATTGAGAACTTGTTAGAAATGCCTATTTTCAGATCAAATAAAAAATAAATAGCAGTGTTGGTGAAGGGTGGGCTAGCACTTTTAATGGAACTAATTCTTTACATGGTCAGTTCTTAATAAAGAGTCAAAAGTTAAAAATGTTGTCAATTCTGTTGAAGTTGGTCCTTTGATAAACTAATGACAAAGGTGTAAGGTCCCATGATAAATTAAATCAGCACAGTGATTAAGAGTGAACTGTGGAGCCCAGCTACCTGGGTCTGAATCCCTCCTCAGCTGTTCGCTCATTGTGCACTCTTGGACAGTCTAACTAAGGTTGTACATATGACATAGAAAAATACATATGACATAGATGTCAAAAAGTGGTTGTGATGAAACAAGCAAAATGATCATGTAAGCAATACATTTTACACAGTGCCTGTTATGTAATAAACTGTATAAATGGTTGAGAAACCATTTTTTAGTTAGGAAGCCCCCTGCCACCAATTGATTTTTATTTGTTGCATTTGTGTATGGCAAAGGAATTAAAATAGGAAAAGCATGGTAGCAAAAAATGACAAAAAAGGAAGGAAACCAGAAAAAAAAAAAGAAATCTGTTTCTAATACAACGTAAAATGGATTCTTAAACATTTAAACTAACAGTACTGATTGCCTTCTGAATTCTTATCTATCCATTTTAACAAATATTGATTGTCAACAAGAGCAAATGTCCAGGGAAGATTTGCTTTCCTCTGTGCTCCACCTGTTCCAGTTTTCATGCCTGTTTAATGTTAATATTTAAGAAATCTAGGTTCCTTCAAGATGGCAAAAACCTTTCATTTCATAAAATTAGAAATAAAAACTTTAAATGTTCTGCTCTTTTGTAGACATATGTAGATGCTATTAAATAGATCAATAAGATCACCATCGTATAACAGTCTTCTCCAGTCTCCTAATTTCTTTTTTCACCTAGTACATAAAATTGAGTAAACAGGTCCTTCTCTTCTCTCACTCCATGGCCTCTTTCCTTGAAATACAAGGGTACTTTTAAAAGTTCATGGAAAAATAGAATTAAAAATTAACACAACTCTTTCCCTAAACTTTTTGAAGTACCCTCATAACTCCCCAGATTTTAATGTTTAACCAAAATTGAGAACTACTACTACAATAGCCCCTCCCACCTAGAGCAGAATTGCCCTTTATTAAGTAAGGCAGCTCTCGTCTTTTCCCTGTTCCTAGCAAGTGTCTTAGGCAGGTGCCAACAAAATGGGTTCTATCAATTATGAATTTTAGAAAGAGCCATTCTTCCCTCCTCAACGTCTTCTACATTTTTTTTTCCTCTTTGCCTGGGAATTATTCTAAGCAGAAAGATTCCCTTTCATCCTTTACAGCTCATCATAAATGTCTCTCCCTTAAGAATATCCTAGCCTCATTTGTTAGATTAGGTCCTCCAGTAATATACTGTCAATATATGGAGTAAGTTTCCTTTTTAGAACTTATACATGCCATTAATAATGAAATTATTTATTGAATGTATGGCTCCCCCATTAAATATTCAGCTCAACGAGAGTATTGGACATATCTGTCTCACATCTAATTATCCAGTTCCCAGCATAGTGTTGCTGAATGTGAGGAATAAGAAGGTAGGCAGTTGTAGCCATGAAGAGTTAGCTGTTAATGATAAATGCATACTTTAACTCTGAGGCAAAGGTAAATTCTGACAAAAAAAATGGAATTGAGATCTCACATAGCTTTTATTTTATAATGAAGTAAAGCAAATAAAGCATATATGGAGAGACCAGATTGTCCCTTACACAGGAAACAGTGACAATGTAATTAATAAAGCATTTTCATAGCACTTTTAATGGAACTAATTCTTTACATGGTCAGTTCTTAATAAAGAGTCAAAAGTTAAAAATGTTGTCAATTCTGTTGAAGTTGGTCCTTTGATAAACTAATGACAAAGGTGTAAGGTCCCATGATAAATTAAATCAGCACAGTGATTAAGAGTGAACTGTGGAGCCCAGCTACCTGGGTCTGAATCCCTCCTCAGCTGTTCGCTCATTGTGCACTCTTGGACAGTCTAACTAAGCTTCCTGTGCCTGTTTCTTCATCTGTAAAATGGGAATAATAATAGTGTAATAGTGTAGTAATAATAGATAAACAAATATATAAAGCACCTGTAACATGATCTTTAGTTATCTTACATAACAGGTATCTCAAAACAGCATTTGATTACCTCTGACAAACATCTAAAATGTAGTTATTCTTTTATTTTGCTTTCACAAAGCAGATGTACAAGTGGCAAGGTTGACCAAACTTTGTAACTAAAGAGTCTAATTTTCTTCCCTAGGTTGAGAGTCATCTGATTTAGTGCAGTGATTTAAAAACATTTTTTAAACATTGGGTAATTGTGATCCATTAGTGGGTTGTGAAAATAATTTTGTTGGTTGTAACCATCAATTTTTAACATAGAGTAGAATAGGAAATATCAGAGTGTACTGCACATTTTAAGGGTAAGTATTGGTTCATGAAACCTTTGTTCAATTGTATATATTTATGTATCCATGTACTGGATCATGAAGTAATATGTACTTGTTACTTTGGGTTATGATCAAAATATTTGAAAGCCCCTGATTTAGTGAAAATAACTGAGGTTTTGTATTGTCAGACATGTGTTCAAATCTGTATTATCTTTGACAAGCTGCTTGACCTCACTGAACCTTTCTCCTTACCACAGTAAAATAGGGACAGTGATTCCTACTTCATGAAATTGTTCATGAAGAACTGAAAGAAATAATATAATGTGTCTGACACATGGTAGGTTTCGATAAATTCTAGTTCCTTTTCTTCTCTACTTCTACACTTCTCATTAGTGGACTATTTAAGAAGTTGTAGGCAGGGCCAAATTTTCAACAAGAAGCAGCTTCGGAAGGGGTCAAATTTTCAAACTGGTACTCAGTGAGCTCTAGAGATTTGCAGTATACTGTATTAGAGGAATTAATTTCTCTTCAGAAATGACCACCACTCAAAGACTCTTTGGCTTTGGGGAAAGTATCTCTTCTTATGAAACCTAAAAGTGAGTATTGTCACAGTTAAATAAGGCAGTCTAGTCATATTTGGAGAATCACAACTAGGAGTTTAATTTGCTCCCTTTCATCATAACACGTAATATGGCAAACACACACAACGGCAGATTTTTTCTGTATAGAACCAGAGAGTAGATATTTTAGATTTTGCAAACCATATAATTTTTGTTGCAACTATTCAGCTTCGTCTTTGTAGCCCCAAAGTAGCCGTAGACAATATATAAATGAATGATTGCAGCTGTGTCCAATAAAACTTTATTTATGGACACTGAAATTTGAATTTCATATAATTTTCATATATTGTGAAATATTATAAATATTCTTTTGTGTGTGTTTTCAACTATTTAAAAATGTAAATGCCATTCTTAGTTTGCAGACCATACAAAAACAGGTGATGGGCTATAGTTTTGCCAAGTCAGACATTCATACACATGCATACCCATGATATCTTTAAATTTACCTTTAAGGAAAAGTTGTCGGGAATTTGTGTGTGTTTGTTTCCCTCATGGTATTGAAATTTGTTTTCAAGTGGTTTCAAAGGTAAGATGATTTCTTAAATTTTAATTTTATATATGAACTAAAAGCTATAAGTCAATTACCTGTATAAGAATATGAATATAATAAAACTCGAGAGTACATTTGTGATATCATGGTTCTGAAAATACCTAAGTGTCTATTTTAATATCTCAAACTTACTACCACTGAGTTTGTCCCACTGCTTACTAGGGCCTTGTATCAAATGGGAGAACCCTAACTCACTTAAACCCGAAAGCAAACTCACTTGTGCCCAAACATTGTTGTTTCCCCAGAATATACGGACTTACACTTGTTTAGTTTTTTCCTTCTCAATTGTAGATTTTGGTTGAATAACTGTATCAATGAACACTTAGGCTGTTCTTATTATGTGCTAGACACTGTTCTAAGTGCTTTACACATGTTTGTTTATTTATTCTTAGCAACAACCCTACAAGACAGGTATTGTTATTATCCCTTTCTACAGATGAGAAAACTAAAGCAGAGAGGTTGAGTAATTTGCCCAAGGTCATAAGCTAATAAGTGGCACAGCCCAGATTTAATTGTTTGTACTTACCTTGAGTACA